TATATATGCAATTTTTTAATATATTATTTATATATTGTATGTGCGCGGTACTTATTAGAAAGAGCTTAATATCAGTGATAGTGCTAACATATTAAATGCAAAATTTAAAGTTTTTGTTTTGGACCTTCATTTCACGCTATTTTCAGACAAACTGATTAATTAATCAGTTTGTCTGACGATCGAAAATAGCGTGAAACCCAGGGTCACAAACTCACATTAAGCCAATATATATATATATATATATATATATATATATATATATATATATATATATATATATATATATTATAAATTAACTGATTGAAATATATTGAATCCAATATTCGCTTGAAGATGAAACGGAACTAACGCTTTTAATTTAATCATATAATTGAATTTAAAGTTTTTAGCTTCCATTTTTGAAACATGGTTATTACTGTGTAGCGAAAAAAACATATTTTCAATCTGTTAATTTATAGTATTTATGCTCTGTAAATTTACATTGAGCACTGTAATATCAATAAGAACACCGGATTATATATCTTACTGTTCTTTCTTTCTTTCGTTATATATATATATATATATATATATATATATATATATATTCTTCTGAAAGATCCGACCTCACAGCCTTATCAAGTTGAAACAACGCTGATGTGTGACCGCTTGGGAATACCAGGTGCTGTAAGCTTGGATGCGCGGATGGTGTAACAGATGACGGCTCGAAAAGAGAAATCGTAGAACTGGGTTCGAATTACAAATACCCTGGGAAAATGTATGAATCCACACCTTCTTCTCCCTAGTTTTAGATTACTTAGTAAGAAGTGTATCAGAAAATTTTCATCATTTCGAAAAAAAAAAAAATTCTTATAATCCAAAAATAGGTTTCGGCTTTAAATAACCTTACAAAAAGGTTGATAAACCGTAAATAAAAAAAAACAAAAAAACAAAAAACAATCAAATCTATTAATGAAGAAACTAGTACATATGAGTCATTATCATAATCTACACCTGATTCATTAAATATCACATCCGTCTTGAAAGTCAGGCGCCTACGAAGAATGTTTATGTTTATGTGTATAATATGTGACAAGTGTTCGCGAAAGACGGGCGTCAATCTCCGAATCTTCGGGGTTAATACCCAGTGACAAGCCAAGGCAAGATAACAATTAATCACTTCAACAACAGATTGTTGTTAGTTTATCCTCTCATCAGCTGTCAGGTCAGATAAACTGTCGCGTAAAAGCGCCAAAATGAAAAAAAAACAACAACAAAAAAAAAAAAAAAACACAGATATCTAATTTTAACAGATATTTTTTTTTATCAAAGTTACAGAAAAAAAATATCTTGAAATACTAAAGAGTAAATTTATTCAATAAAGTTGCCATTGGCTTCAACCACGGCCTCCAGACAACTTCGAAATCTCCTGCAACTCTTCTGGACGGTCTCCTAATTTAAGTTGGTGAATACTGCCATAATCCTTGCCTTCAGTTCATCTTCATTGTTACAAGGAGTTTTGTTAGTCTCTCATTCGACTGCACCCCACACATAATAATCAAGGGGGGTTGCCGCCTGGAGAGTTGACCAAGGGCAGCACTACCTCCTCAGGCACTTGATGTAGGCCTCCGCGTTGTGTCTGATCTCTGTGGGAAGACGAATGGAGGCATAACGTCGCCACCCCTAGAGATCCCTCCAAACACCTTCGTAATCATAATTAGACTCATCTAACTCTTTCTAAATCTTCTGCACTGTACTCAGATTGACACCCAAACACTGAAACAACCACACATAATAATCAAGAAGGAGGAGGTTGCAGTGGGTTTTCCGAGCTGCCCTACCATCGTAATCATCATGAGAAATGAATAGAGGCATAACGTCGCCACTTCAAATACCTTCGTCATCACCATGAGACTCATCAAACTAGTTCCGAATCCTCAGCACTGTCCTCAGATTGACACCCAAACACTCTGAACGTATACATGCATACATACATATAGAGTGTACGATGGATAAATTGTCGTCTAAAAGCGCCAAAATGAAAATATTACAGACATCTCATTTTAACAGATATATTTACCAAAGGTACAGAAAAAAATATCTTGAAATACTAAAGAGTAAGTTTATTCAATAAAATCGCCATTGGCTTCAACCACGGCCTCCAGACAACTTCGGAATCATTTCCATCTCTACTGGACGGTTTAAATTGGTGAATGCTGCCATAATCCTTGCCTTTAGTTCATCTTTGGTGTTATAACTAGTTTAGTTGGTCTCTCGCTCAACTGCGCCCTGCACATAATCATCAAGAGGGTTGCGGCCTGGGGAGTTAGGTGGCCAGATATAAGGGGTGATGTGATACCAGAAATTGTCTGACGGCCATGGCTGGGTTCTCCTGCTTGTATGTCATGGTGCACAGCCTTGTTGTCCGACATAGATTTTCCCAACAGTAACCCTTCTGACCCAGGGCAGCACTGCCACTTCAAGACACTTGACGTAGGCCTCCGTGTTGAGTCTGAAACCCTTGTCAACCAATTCGGGAGTTCTTTTCTTATCAAAACGATCAGTGTTGCCTTACCTTCGTGATCATCATTAGACTCCTCTAACTCTTTCTGAATCTTCTGCACTGTCCTCAGATCAACACCCAAACACTCTGAAATGTTCTGGCGTGAATGCCAAGAACTCCCTTTCCAAATTTCTGGCGTCGTGAATTGCGTCATGGTGCTCTTTTTCTCACAGACGGTGCCCAACAGACCCTACTATACTTTGCAGGTGAAAAATCATAAACAAGCAACGCGCATGCGCGAAATCAAAAATATAAAATGGCGGCCATTTAGTCATTGCGCTCTGTATATGTAATTTTAAATCAAATTCAACTGCCAGTACGCACCAGTTACATCTTTATCATCTTGGACTTGCCTGGGAGTATAAGGGTTCTTATTTTCACACTGCAGTCACCAACTGCCTGATGATTGCTTGGAACAGTATGAAACTGGAAATCGTGGACGGTCACTGCTTACTTGAAATTTTATTTAAAATATAATAAAGTTCTACCATTTAATAGAGCACTCTTTTTTCCTGTGTGCAATCTTAAAATACCCTTTTAGTGGCCGCTTATCCTTATTTCTGTTAATTCATATACATACATACATACATACATATATACATATATATATATATATATATATATATATATATAGTTTATGCAAAACTAGGTAATCCGTATGGGTAGACGCAAGGAGGATGATATCCAGAGAGCTCAATGTAAATTCAGAGCAAATATATTTGAATAAAAACAGACCTTTAAAAGGGTTGTGGTGAAATAACTTATTACATGGAACCTTAAAGTGGTCTGTTTTAATTCAATATATATATATAACTATTTTTAAAAAATATGATTCTTTCGCTACATAAGAGTTCTCATGTTTCAAAAACAAAAGCCAAAAACTTCAATATAATTATTAAAATTAAATTGAATTAAAGTATCAAGCTCTGTTTCATCCTCAAGCGAAAATTTAGGAATAGCCAATCTTGAAATTTACGCATTTTTATAAGCATGTTCATTCAAAAAATTAATTACTATGGAAACGGCTGGAGCGACCATTTTGATAAGAGGCGTAAGAGTTAATTTGTATCCACATCACCTTCGGAGAGAGGTCAAGCCGAGACAGGGCTGGGGTGTCCATTTCAAAGCGAATGATGGCATTCATGTACGCACATCGTCTGGTCAGTCACAGCGATAGATAGCTGTTGGCACCATCGTACGTCGTTAAGTGTCTAAAGAATTTTATTTTATTTTATTTATTTATATTTTTTTTCCAAAAGGCTGTTTCGTACATAAACGCGTCACACTGAACTACAATTTGTTTTTTTGACGACTTCATAAAGTGTTTTTCTATCTTATGATTGGTTTAAGCTTTTAAAGCTTTTATTAGACTATGAAATTTATATATATATATATATATATATATAATTAAGTAATTCATCGAGTCTAGAAGAAACCTCAACAGAACGGCCGTTTCGCCCTATATTTGGGACTCATCATCAGTGTGCATCCACTACCGAGTATTGAAACCCAGACAGTTACGTTATCAGGCAAACGTCATACCAACGGGCCTCGTTGACGGAGAGGTAACGAAATTAGACTCGATATAGCGCCGCTTGATCACTTATTCCGTGCTCGATGAATTACTTAATCATAATTATCTCAATTCCTCCTAATAATTTCTATCACTTGTATATCATTGCTTGAACCGGCTTCTAAAGCCCTGGATGGAGAGGCTTGGTGATAGTAGTCGTGGCTCGTGAGGGGCACAGTCCTATGGGTAAAAGAGAAACTCGGATGAGTTCCACCATACCGTCTCACTGCTCTATCGCTACTACCATGGAAAGAACTCCATTCCTTGGTTAAGCAAGGTCTCACCTTAACAGCTAGGACCGCCATGCCACTTACATTGTAGGAAATCACCCATATTCCCTCTGTATTTCATCGGTGTGAAGTAAGTTCCACTCAGACTGCTTCTGCCCGCGAACAACAGCTCTATGGAACAGACTTCCAAGAGGATGTTTTCCCGATCAATAGAATCTTAAATTGTTTAAGGCTACAGTTAACCGTTATCTTTTCTTCCTATACGTATAAACTACCTCTTCACACAGGGATTCTGAACCGCCGTGCCGCGGCACACTGGTGTGACGTGCGATCGTCTTAAGTGTGCCTAGAAAGTATAATAGTCGAAACCTCTTCATAAATGTTCCTTATAATATTGGACTTATGTTATGTGAAAAAGAAGAATTGGCCACCATTTCTAATGATTGCGGGGGGGGGGGGTCAAAATAAAACATTCGACGGTACCCACTGATACATTTTGGATTTTAATACAAAAGGAATATTCCACATTCGTTGAAAAGGCTTTATCCTTTGGATTGGAATTTTTTACGAATTATTTATGTGAGTTAGGCTTTCTCAACTCTTAAAATAAGAAGCGAGAAAGACTACGCCCAACTGAAGAAGAAATGAGGGCTTGCTTATGGCATATTTTCTTTCTTTCTTTCTTTCTTTCTTTCTAATCCTTTTCTTCTTTTCTTTCGTTCTAATCATTTTCTTTCATTCATTCATTCATTCATCCACTCTTTCTTTCTTTCTTTCTTTCTTTCTTTCTTTCTATTCCTTTCTTTCTTTCTTTCTTTCTAATTCTTTTGTTTGTTTGTTTCTTTCTTTCTTCCTTTCTAATCCTTTTCTTCTTTTCTTTCGTTCTAATCATTTTCTTTCATTCATTCATTCATCCATTCTTTCTTTCTTTCTTTCAAATCTTTTTGTTTGTTTGTTTGTTTGTTTGTTTCTTTCTTTCTTTCTAATCCTTTTCTTTCTTTCTTTTTTGTTTCTAATCCTTTTGTCTGTCTGTTTGTTTGTTTTTTTCTTTTTTCTTTCTTCCTTTCTAATCCTTTTCTTCTTTCTTTCGTTCTAATCATTTTCTTTCATTCTTTCTTTTCTCTTTCTTTCTTTCTTTTTAATCCTTTTCTTTCTTTTTTTCTTTATTTTTTCTTTCGAATCCTTTTGTTTGTTTGTTTCTTTCTTTCTCTCTTTCTAATGCTTTTTCTTCTTTCTTTCATTCTAATCATTTTCCTTCATTCCTTCATACATTCTTTCTTTCTTTTTTTGTTCTTTCTTTCTCTCTAATCCTTTTCTTTCTTTCTTTTCTCTTTCTAATCCTTTTTTCTGTTTGTTTGTTTTTTCTTCTTTCTTTCTTTCTTTCTTTCTTTCTTTCTTTCTAATCCTTTTCTTCTTTCTTTCATTCTAATAATTTTCCTTCTTTCTTTCTTTCTTTCTTTCTTTCTTTCTTTCTTTCTTTTTAATCCTTTTGCTTGTTATTTGTTTGTTTGTTTCTTTCTTTTCTCTAATTCTTTTGCTTGTTATTTGTTTGTTTGTTTGTTTGTTTGTTTGTTTGTTTGTTTCTTTCTTTCTTTCTTTCTTTCTTTCTTTCTTTCTAATCCTTTTCTTTCTTTCTTTCGTTCGGTTTTATTTCATAACATTTAAATGTATACCATTTACAAATTTTCCGAAATGTGTCCTGATATTTTCATTTGCTCTTAGGTGTGCCGTTGCTTAAAAAGGTTAAGAACCACTATCTTAACGTAAAATCTCGAGTGACCCCCGAGTGCTGTACAGGGCGAAACATACTGGCTTCTGATTCCATACATTGTTGTCCTCCAAAGATTTGAGATATACATATATATTACGACAATAAAAGTGAATATTGGGGATCATTGAGAAAACTTATTGTCACTTGATCGCTAGTGAAAAGTTATCATTTATTACTGGGGTGAAAACTTATTAATGGTGTGTGTGTGTGTGTGGGGGGTTCTATTTTTCAAGATGTTTAGGAAATGAAACAAGATGAAAGAAAACATCAAGGAAGCAGGAATCTCAGTGATTCAGATTCTTGTTTTTTTTTTTTATTCTCGGAGAGAATGAGTATTTTTTTTTTTAATGTAATGGAAAGACGGAAGCCATGTTTATTAAAATAAAAACGCACGACTGTACCAGAGAGGAAAAAAAATGTTACGCGTTAATATTTAGGCGGGAAATATTCTTTTTCTTTTTTTCATATTATCTGGTTCGTTTTTCAATTTCCATTCATGCATCGATCTTTTTATTTATTTATTTATTTTTTTTTGCTTTCTATCGTTCCGAATTTCTTTCTTTCTTTCTTTTTCTTTCTTTCTTTCTCTCTAATCATTTTTCATTTCTTTCTAATCATTTTCTTTCTTTCTTTATTACTTTCTCACCTTGTTTCAAATCATTCTTTCTTTCTTTCTTTCTTTCTTTCTTTCTTTCTTTCTTTCTTTCTTTCTTTCTTTCTCACCTTGTTTCAAATCATTCTTTCTTTCTTTCTTTCTTTCTTTCTTTCTTTCTTTCTGTCGATATTTCTAATCATTTTTTTTTCTTTCTTTCTTTCTTTCTTTCTTTCTTTTTTCTTTGTATATTGACCTTGTTACTCATTTTTCTCTCTAATTCTTTACAAAAGCGAAAAACAATCAACGTAAAATAAAAAAATAAATAAATAAATACGCGTGACACAGGATTAGATTATTTTTTTTTGTCCTCTTTGACAAAATTATTTAAAATATATTCACTGAAAACTATTACGCATTTCATCCAAGAGGTCATTGGTAACAATCTGTGTGGATCACGTGACAGCACGCCATTTCTTCCAGCATTATTTTTAGTATTGTGTGCCATTACAGTTCATCGTGCATTTCGGATCCAGCTGCCATGATGGACATGACCGTCTTCAGTTCTTAGATATTTTTTTAGATATATTGCTATTTACATTATTCGGAGTATTGTCCTCATCAGTGTCGCCATATTTGTCACAACGTTTCGGCCGTTGTACGCTCCGGCCTTCTTCAGTTGGTTGGAATGTTGCACCCTTTATTTCGCTCACTGGGGTAGACTGTTCTAGTTCCAAGTGTCATGTATAATGGATGTCAATTATCTCCTGTTAATTCCTCTCTCCAATTTTTCCACTGCTAACTGATAAACATGACGACAAAGATGAGGACAATAGTCCGAATAATGTAAATAGTGTACATAATACCTCATCTCAGAAATATAGACAGATACTAAAGGGCCGAAACGTAATAAATATGGCGACAAAGATGAGGACAATAGTCTGAATAATGTAAATTTATAATAATAATTCATCTCAGAAATAATAGATGATACTTTCTTTCCATATTCGAAACGTTTCCAATAAATATGGCGACAAAGATGAGGACAATTAGTCCGAATAATGTAAACAATTACATAATAATTCATCTCAGAAATATAGACATATATTGCTAGTTGTTTGATTGTTTGTTTGTTTCTTTCCTTCTAATCATTTTCTTTTCAAAGTTCTTTAGAAGTAGAGCTTAAAATTATAATTATTTAAAAAAAAAATAAGATTAAAAATTAAAAATTTTGTTTCATCGCTTGGGAATGAAACTGTACTCTAAATTTTAAGTTTAATATTGAAATAAAACTTTAGGTCTTGAGTCAGTTTCTAAACAGTAATTTGTTTGTAGGAAATGGAATCATATTTATTTATATATATATATATATATATATATATATATATATATATATATATATATAAATTTCAAAATTTCATTGTCAATACGATTCCAATGAAATAAATTATAACTATTTGGTATATTAGTGTTCGAACCTTATATATATATATATATATATATATATATATATATATATATATATATATATATATATATATATATATATTCCATTCTCATATTTTGGCAGGAGATGCCCAGATTTTTACTGTCTAGCCTTGATAGAGCTTATAAAAATCTCCCCAATCCTTGTGGGTAATGAATTATTCTCCACCTCCAACCTCTCTTCTTTTCAAGGCGGGATGTGGCGAGGCTCACACCGCATGTCGCTTTAAAACGGAAAGTGCTCGGACGAACTTTCCCAGTTTTCGGCCAGTTTAAACCTTTATTGCTAGGACCCCGCCATTCCGCTTACAAAGTATCAAATCACCCACGTTTCCCCATTCAATCGGGGAGAAATAATTCCACTTAACAGCGTCGTTCTGCGAATCACTAACCCTGTGGAACCAACTCCCAAAATTCCCCAGATCACTACAATCTTGACCTGTTTAACCGTTATCTCCTCCTCCTATTCCCCCAAATAGGTATAACGTAACCTCTTTCCTTTTAATTGGTTCCCAATATATTTTGTTCAAACATTTGAACCTTTTTTCAAAAAAACGCTATAATAAAAACAAAACATCTTAACCTGTTCAAATATTTAGGGTTAACAAGAAGTTGGGTTTTGTTTCTCTGTCCTCAAATCAAAATTTACCCCGACCTGTTCCATTTTACATTTATATACGATTTTCGCTAAACATGCAGATAAAATGATCGGCTCCCTGTTTGGTTTGTTTTACTGCATATCAACACATCAATGGGTTATTTAATGCCGACAAGATATTTAGGATAGGTTCGTATGAATAGAATATGTATTCTTTGTAAGAAATCAGTTAGTAGATCAGATTTGGTTTGTTTTGTTTTGCGGCATATCAAACGCAGTGGGTTATTTAATGCCGACTAAATTTTTTATTGTTGGTAATATTTTTTTTCAAAAATCTATTTCAGGTAATAATTTTCCTTCCAATATGTAGAGCTGGTAATATTTTTTTTTCAAAAAATGTATAGCTGTTAATATGTTTTTTTTTTTTTTTTTCAAAAAATGTATTTCTTTTAATTAAAGACTATTTTTTAAATGTTGTCACCCCCAGTTTTTTTTTTAAAATAAACTATTTGCCCATATTGGGACCCAAAAATAACAGGTAAAACCACCCTCACCTAGGGGTTTTACCTGGATCTCAATACAAACTGTTCCAAGTGAATCAATCAAATCAGTCAAATTCTACTGAAAAGGATGCGAAAATTAGCATAGGCGAAAAGCTTGGGCCGCCATAAATAAAATGGAAGTGATCTGGAAATCTGATCTCCCAGACAACCTCAAACGGAGATACTTTCGCGCCATTTTTAGAGCCGCTTTTAATGTCTACTGCTTGGATATTAACTAAAATCCTTGAGTCTATGTTTGATGGAACCTACAACGGGATACCGAGAGCTATGTTTAACCTATCTCGGAGACAACATCCAAATAAATCACAGCTGGGATATGGACCGATATTCTACAACCTGACGTGAACGCAGAAGCAGGACACTTTTGGTGAATTTTCAAGAAAATTACTTAAAGAGATTTAATTACTTTCTTTTCAAATTTAATCTCTAGCCCGCCGACACAGAAAAATTGGTTCTGTGACGATTTTCTTCTTTTCTGTTTACAAATGAAGAAATTCTTTATATTGTAAAGCTCTTTTACTGTAAATTATTATCTTTATCTATAAAAGGCAGGATGTGTGTGTGCGTGTGTGTGTGTGTGTGTGTGTGTGTAACGAATGCACGGCCGCCATTTTTGACGGATTTGCAACAAAATTTACAGGCACATGCTCCAAGTTAGCGGGAAAGGCCAAGACCGACTTTGCATTTCCCAACTCCCATCGATAGTGGAAATAATCGATTTTTTTCATGCTTCTACGGCAGTTTTCATGTAGTTTGCGGCCATTTTCTACTGGCCAGAGTGAGAGCCTATAGCTGGCTGCCACGAATAGGCAGGAAGATTCTATTGGCCAGCGTGAGAGCCAACAGCTGACTGACATGAATGTTAACTAGCATGCAAAAAAAAAAAATAGCTGCATTCGTCACAAGTGGGAAAAATTTAAATCTGCATGGCACTTTTTACCAATTGGCTCATTCGCTTGATTAAACTCAACGTTGATTCTGATTCCGCAGAACTGGGTTGGGTGTGAAAAAAAATTTGTTGTTAACATTCTTTTTTCATTCGGTTTTTCCAGTTACAAGTCCTTTTTTAAAGCTGATTGTTTTGTGTTCATTTTGTTTAGTTCTTTTTTCGTAACAGATTTAATGTTTAGTATAGAGCTTAGAAAAAATTCACAGTGTGAGATAGGGAAGACGTAAGGCATGTAGCAACATCAGCACGGTAAAGTGCACTCCTTTAAAGGCAAGGAAGGGGCAAAAATATTTTAAGTCAAGTGATAGCGATTGCTGTATGAGTCGTACGATTTTTGAATCAAGCACGGGCAACGCCGGGTCATGCTGCTAGTTATTATTAGAATTCATCACCAAACTATGGTCCTATAAGAGAATTGTTCATTTAATTGATAGCACTTTTCTTAGTATGTGGTAGGGCGATCTTGTATGGTGCTATTACCTGGAACACTATTATCTATCTATCTATCTATCTATCTATCTATCTATCTATCTATCTATCTATCTATCTCAGTCTGTTCATCTATCTATCTATCTATCTATCTATCTATCTATCTATCTATCTATCTATGATTATTAATCTTATCTTGTAGATTAACAGAGAGTGAAAGAGTGCGACACCGTCTGTGTCTTTTCGCAGTGTAAAGAAAATGATTAATCATTATCAATGATGTCAACTCATATACGTGTTCCTACTAAAAATAACATTCAGTGCAATAATTTCGACAAAATCATGACTTTCTACTATGTCTGATCATTATCTATCTATCTATCTATCTATCTATCTATCTATCTATCTATCTGAATCTATTCATATCTATGTATCTATCTGAATCTGTTCATATCTATCTATCTATCTATCTATCTATCTGAATCTGTTCATATCTATCTATCTATCTATCTATCTATCTATCTATCTATCTATCTGAGTCTGTTGATTATCTTTCTATCTCAATCTGTCCGTATATATCCGTCTGTTCATATCTATCTATCTATCTATCTATCTATCTATCTATCTATCTGAATCTGTTCATATCTATCTATCTATCTATCTATGTGTGAAGTTTTTGCACACACACGGATATACACACATATATGTCTGTGTGTGTGTGTGCGTATATTTAAATATGTTCAATATATATATATATATGTATTTATCATTATTCATCAACACACATTACACACACACATACGTGTATACACACACACACACATATATATATATATATATATATATATATATATATATATCTTTTTGTTATGACACCTTTTGTCCTTTTACTGACATATAGACGCATTCAATAATTTCGACAAAATTATGACTTTTTCGTATTTACAAAGACTGTCATACTTTCATAGACCATTTCTTTTCCCCATTTTTTTTCGTTAGACATCTTGCAAGTTCAATAAACTTAAAGAAAACGATTCGTTTATTTATTTTTCTCTCTCTCTCGCCTTTCTCCCTCACCCTCACTTTTCTTTCTCTCTCTCTCTCTCACTCGCAGATTTCTCTCTCTCTCTTTCTCTTGTTTTTCTTTCTCTCACTCGCTTTTTTCCTGTCTCCTTTCTTTCTTTCTTTCTTTCTTTCTTTATTTATTTCTTTCTTTCTTTCTCAATTGCTTTTTCTCTCTCTCTCTTTCTCTCGCCTCCCTCTCTCTTTATTTCCCATACTCTCTTTTTTCCCTATCCCTGTCTTTCTCTCACTCGCTTCTCTCTCTCTCTCTCTCTTTCTTGTTTTGTTTTTCTTTCTCTCACTCGCTTTTTTCTCTGTCTCCTTTTTCTTTCTTTCTTTCTTTCTTTCTTTCTTTCTTTCTTTCTTTCTTTCTTTCTTTCTTTCTTTCACTCCCTTTTTTCTCTCTTTTTCTCTTTCTCTCTCACGCCTTTCTCTCCTTCTCTAAATCTCCTGCTTTTTCTCTAGCTCTCTCTTTCTCTCGCCTTCTCCTCTCTCTCTATTTCTCTTACTCTCTTTTCTCCCTCTCCCTGTCTTTCTCTCACTCTCTTTTCTCTCTTTCTCCTGCTCGCTTTACTTCCTTCCAGCAAAACGTGTTTTAAATGGCAACTCCAAACAACTTGTCATGACAGTGCACAGTATCACGATTATTTGGTCGACGACATCGTGTTTGTTGACTAAAACTCACAGCGAAGTTCGTCCTGTACACAGTCCGGGAGCCAGTCGAGGTAGCGCAGTGGTTCCCAAACTTCTTTTTTTTTTCTCTGGGCAGAATTTTCGTACGGGAATTTTGCTCGTGTCTCACCAAAGGGAAGTCCCATTGAAAATGCACAAGCAGCCGTGCAGCATAGAAGGTCCAGAGAGAGGTTTAATGGGAGATAACCGCAGATTCAAAGTCAGAACATTATTATTGATAACTCTCTCCTCCAATTTGCGGATCCTAGTTACTATATTCTTAATACTTGATATAATGTAAAAATGTCACAATGATAAAATCGATCTATAATTATTTATAGTAGGTAAACCACTGCTAGTGGTGAACTACTTAGACAGCATATTACCCCCCCACATACACTTACAATAGTGTCCACTTTATTCATGAGATTTGGGATATACCCATTAGTGTTCATATGTACGGTATATAATTGATAGATAGATAGATAGAAATAATGAAAATGAAAGAGAAAGAAAAATCAAAAGGAAGATAGATAGACAGATAATGAAAAGACTGTGATAGATAGATAGATAGATAGATAGATAGATAGTGTTGTAACCTAGAGAAAGTTACTGAATGAGGAATAAACAAAACGGAGGTTGGAAATGAAATGGTAATCTTTATAACATCAACAAAATACAATACTCGCCAGCGGCGTGAAGTAGGTAAACCACTGCTTGTGGTGGACTACATAGACACCATATTACCCCCACTTACAATATTGTCCAACGTATTTATGAGCATTGGGACATACCCATTAGTGTTCATAGGTACGCTATATAACACTTTCTTTCCTTCTTTCTTTATTCCTTTCTTATTCCATATTGTCTTTATTTATTTCTAATGTCATCATTTCTTACTACCTTTCTTTCTTTCTTTCTTTCTGTTGTAACCTAGAAAAGGTCACTGAATGAGGAATAACCAAAATGGAGGTTGGAAAATGAAATGGTAATCTTTATAACATTAACAAAATACAATACTCGCCAGCGGTGTGAAGTAGGTAAACCACGGCTAGTGATGGACTACTTAAACAGCATTAGTACCCCCACTTACAATAATGTCCAGCATATTTATGAGGTTTGGGAAATACACATTAGTGTTCACAAGTACGGTATATAACAATACTTAGCCCTAGAACAGAAACCATCAATTAAAGTTACACCACTACTAACCATGGGTATATCATACCCGATTTTGAAAATACCAAAAAAAAAAAAAAAAATAAATCTTTATTTGAATTATTTTACATGCAGGCATTTCAAACTTTGTACTTTGAGTTAACATTAATAGGAACTGAAAAGCATTATTTAGGTAAGAAAACCACGTATCAAAAATTGTAATTAAAAATAGGAAAATTTGTTCTGGGTACTATATACCCATGGTTAGTGTTCTAGGGTTAATACTTGATATATGCAAAAATATCACAATGATAAAATCGGCCAATAATTATTTATACCCTGCATTAAATTACAAGTAATCCATAAGAATAGTCTAAATTTTGAAATCATATTCATTTTTGGAATATGATATTTTTTGTAACTGTTTCTAAATCTTTGATTGTCTTTCAATAATTCCGCCTTTTCTATCCTATTCCGCAATTAATCCTTTCCGGTGTTGTTGCTATCCTCTTCCGCGTCACCTGATATCCTCTTCCGCCTCACCTGCTATCCTATTTTGCCGTACCTATGAGGTGCGACGCCCTATTTGGGGATACAAAAGTTCTAAGATGAATTGATCTTTCTTAACACCAGTAGGAAATTGATTCATCCTAATATATGCCAAAGTAGGATTTGCACGCGGTGTCACACCAGAGCATCAAAAGAGTTAGCTGCATTCAGAAGATTGATCTGGCAGGTTGCCTTATAGCCAGCAGTTGCAGAATCGGATGCCACAAGCTGGCTTGACATATAAACAAGAGGTCGACTCAGCTGAGCTTAGAATATGCATACGTTTGAGTTATATAAACACTACATCCGGGATAGTAAATCCAGGGACTCTCAAAGTTTCCCGTTTCTTGAAGATCAACGCTTGAAGAAAACAATAACACAATGATAAAAATCGGTCAATAATTATTTTATACTGGGACTCCTGTATGAAATTACTAGTAATCCATAAGAATAGTTTAAATTTTGAAATTTTATTTATTTTTAATAATAATATGAAATTTTTATTTTTATCTACTAAATAACTTTGATTGTCTTTCAATCATTCCGACTAAACTGCTATCCTTTTCCGCCTCAAAAAAAATGCTAAATAAATTTTTCTGCTAAAACCTTTTCGCCGCACCTCCTATCCGCTTGGAGCCTCATTGAAAAACGAAAATCCTATTGGTTCAACACCTTTTACCTTCCGCCTTATAATCCTCTGAAAATTTTAAACCTGTTATCCTCATTCCGCCTTTCACCCGCTAAATTTTCAAAATGTTATCTATCCTCTTCCGCCTCAAATGCTATCCTCTTTTATCTCACCATATATCCTTTTCCGCCTACCTGTTATATCCTCTATTTATAACGCACATATGATGGATGGTGCAACCATTTTTTTTACCACAGTGGTAATTTAGGTTATATTTATTAATAAATATATAGTTTATTTATTTTGTCTGGGGAAGATAAAATTTTTAACTGTAGACTGGGACTGCTTAAGATATTTGCGATCGCAATAAAAGCATTGTCTTTTTCATCGGTTCCAAAGAGCTGTGGTTCATTTCCCTTAATGGAACATTTAATCACCAACGGAATATGTACGGAATTTACAATTTAAACAGTCGCTATATTTTGCGTAGCATGGCTTTCTGGCTTTCTAGAAGGTTAGACCCTATGGGATGTTTAACTTTGTATGGAATTAGTGATAGAGGAAAAAAGCGAGATTTTTCAATTTTCGTTTCTCGCCTGTGTGAGAGAGGTTGCAGGGCGGAAAATAATTTATCACCCACAAGGACGCTTTTAGAAGCCTATCAATACTGGAAAACGAGCACTGTACGACTCCTGCCAAAAATATGAAAGCGGTACTCCATTTTAGGGTCTTGTAAAAGTAGAAGTACTTATCGGAGGGCGGTACAGGGAACAGACCGTTTTTTTCTTGCATCTTTAGCGATGGATCAAGTCCTATTTGAGGTCTGGGGTGAGTTTTAAGGTTTTTAGTCCTTCAAGGGATGAGAGAACCGCAAAGGAAACGTATAGTGTTTATCACTTTTATATATATTTCTATTATGTGTGTGTATGTATATATGTGTGTGTGTGTGTGTGTGTGGCAGAAAAATGTTCAATGAAGATGGTTAAATGAAAGCAGTTTTGTTCTGGAGACGTTGAAATTTACAAGCCATTTCTTGCCCCAGTTAACCACTGACTGGCGGTCCTTTTTCAAGAGCAGTTGCCAGGTTTACTTTGTCGGATCTGTTCGATTTGCTACTGAGTCTGGAGTAAACTTTTTATATCTGGCGGCATCATCTGATTTATTGATTTTGCAATCAAAATACATTTCAGGTCAACGGATGGAGCCCCCCCCGCCCGATTTAGTATGAAATGATTTGGTAACTTGACCGTTCAACATGACCTTTATTAATTGATTGTTTACGAAGGTTTGAATGAAGCCAAATATACGGTCCATGACACTGTAACCCTGAAACTTGCGCGGAAGGCCAGCATGTCAAACCCTGTCCATCGCTTTCGAGATATCTAGAGCCATAGCCCGAGCTTCAGCATTCTTATATAAAGCTTGACAGACACAAGTGTATACCGGGTGTAACAGCAAAATTGTCCAATTGCTAGATTAAGCTCTGAACCGTTGTATCTTAGAAATGATTAAAGATATCTTACTGGAATTCTCCGTGGTTTTTATAACACTATTGAACTTTACTTTGAACAATAACAAACTATAATTACTCCCCAAACAGAAAAATCGTGATGAAATCGATCATGATCGGAAATTGTCATGTTCATCATTAATTAAGCATAGCTAAAGAACAGAAGGATTGAAATAAAGTTCAAAAATATATCTAGATATGATTTCAGGATCATTTTGCAACTGATTCAAGGCGATCTTCGCCCTCTCAAACCTTCTAACTTTCTGTCCTGGAGTAACAAGGCGCCGTACTGATTTCACGTACAATGCTGACGCCAGACGCCTTCGAATATCACTCGTACTAATAGTACTTGCTCGATAATACTCGCTCGAATATTAATCCGTATAGTGATCCGTATAGAGAAATAGTATAGTGAATAGAGTAGAGAATAGCGGTCCGTATAGTAATAGAGGATAGAATATAAATGGAGATCCGTATACTAATAGAGGATAGAACAGAAATGGTGATCCGTATAGTAATAGAGGATAGAATAGAAATGGTGATCAGTATACTAATAGAGAATAGAATAGAAATGGTGATCCTTAAATTTATAGGGGATAGAATAGAAATAACGATTTTTAATGGTCACGATATTTTCTACTTATGTGTTTCCTCTATGGTCACGTGACCCATTTAATTCAATAATGGGATCGCCTCTGTTTGCTCGCTGGCGATCTATGTTCAAACTCAGGTGTCGGCAGATAGATATGAATAGGATAACATAGAGAGATAGAGAGATAGATAATGAACGGATTAATGAACAGTTGGATAGATAGATAGGTCGATAGATAGATATGTATAAAATGACATAGATAGATAGATAGATAGATAGATAGATAGATATCAGATGACACTCTTTGCCTTTTTAATGTGTGACCAAAGATATATG